AGGTGAGACATCAGGGCTGAGGGAGGAAGCAGCACCTGCACAGGTGACACAGGGGAGGGCAGGGAAGGGTCAGGGGTTACAGGTGAGGCTCAGGAGCCCCAGGTGAGGGTCAGGACAGACTCAGGACTCACCTGGAAGTCCCCCCCGGCCGAGGACCCCCCGAGCACTTCCACGAAAGCGGCTCCGTCATTCCCGATGTGCAGGGAGTTGATGGGGCGGGACCCCCCGAGCTGGGGGAGAGACCACGGTGAGACCCCTGGGAGACCCCCTGGGAGAGCCCCAGTCCCCCCCAGTGCCCCCAGTCACCTCCAGCACCACGCTGAGCTGTTTCTCAGTCCCTCCCAGTATCTCCCAGTCACCCCAGTGCCCCCAGTCACCTCCAGCACCACGCTGAGCTGTTTCTCCCCGGCCGCCGCCCCCCTCCATTTCCCCCCGCCATCGGGGTCCAGCAGGTTCTGCGCCGGGTGCCGCTGCGGGGACACGCGGAGAGGGTCAGCGCGGGACCCCCAGAGCCTCCCCGGCCCCCCAAAGCCCCCCAGACCCCACCGGGTCCTCGCTGGACACGGACACGACCCTCGTGAAGGGGATTTCGGGCATCGCCCCCTTCGCCGCCATTCACCGGAAACCGCCCCAGGGCTCCCTCATGGAGCCGCTCTGCGCCGCCGCCCCCCCCCTCTATGGTAGCGGCACCTTATCGTGGTTACTGCGCATGCGCTGGAGGACCCTGCCGGGCCACGCGGGTCCTCCAAGGGCGGGGGGGTTTCCCGCCCTTTTTTTCGCGCCGTTTTTTTGGGCGCGAAGCCGTGAGGGGACGGGGGGAGAAGGGCGTTTGGGAGGGTAATTAAGAGTTAATTAAGGGGTAATTAGGGAGTTGGAAATAATTAAGGGTTTGGGGTAATTGAGAGGTAATTAATTAAAATGCAAATGAGTCGTTTTGGGGGTGTCCAGGGGGTTTATTGATGCCCTGACCCCCCTCCCAGTCCAGCCCAGTCCAGCCCAGTTCAGCCCAGTAACCGCCCGTACTCGGCCAGGGCTGACGATTTCTTCACCCCGTCCCAGATCCGGGCGGCGTAGTGGAACCTGCACCAGTACAGACCAGTATGGACCAGTACAGACCAATACAGACCAGACATTCCCTCCTAGTCCCTCCCAGTTACCCCCAAACCCCCTCCCAGTGCCTCCCAGTCCCTCCCAGTGCCCCCCACTATCTTCCAGTTCACCCCAATCCGCTCCCAGCACCCTCGAACCCCCTCCCAGTGCCCACCAGTATCTCCCAGTGACCCCCAAACCCCTTCCCAGTCCCTCCCAGTGCCCCCCACTATCTTCCAGTTC